ATTATGGATTTAACTCTATATTTTTTTGAATTAATTTTCATACAATATTTTAAGGGAATATAGATACCCTCATTATTAAGTATAATATACATATAATAAATCCATTAAAAACAGAACAAAAAAAATCAATGCAATAGTTTCTTTTAATTCAAATATTGAAACATAGGTTTCCATAAGGAAAGCATGACATTACCTCCATTATCCTGGTTCAGACCGCCATCTGAAGGTGCACATTAATGGCGTTGTATTTCAAGTGCCTCTCACAATTTTCTGTTTAAACTATTGACCTCTATTTTTAAAGTATTTTTATTGTTCCATGTAAAATTACCATAACAATTTTTTGAATGCTCTACTATTGCTGAATAATCCCTTTTTTCTTCGTATGCATTTTTTGGATGTTGGTAATTACAAGAAGAGATTTTTAATTTTGTTTCACCAAAATAACATTTTTTGCAGAAGCATTCAAGTTTGTACATACCTGGTTTAGAATTTATAGGAAGAGAAAGTTTATTTTTTTGTGGTAAGTATATGTTGTAAATTTTATGGTGATTTAAAGACTGGTGTATAACCTGATTTTTTGAAAACTTTTTTTAACTTTGGGTTAATTCCTGGAATCCCCGGTAAAGATATTTTTTGATGCAATTGATGAATGTTGAATTTCAATATTTTATTTTTTAATATGTAAATTTTCTTTAGTGGTTTTTATAATATTTTCCAGGCTTGTTTTTTTATAACCATTTTCTACAAAAGCATCAATTAGAAATAATCAATATTATTATCAGAGCATAAATATAATGCCCTATGAACAAATTCTTTGAAAACTCCGTTTATAAATTTTGGATCATGGCATGAGTTAGGTTTGAAAATCTGCAACTACTACCATAAGTCCTAAACCAATAGGTCCAGAATCTTCTAGTTCATAAATCTTGTGTTCATATGAAAAATAGCAATGCAAAAGGCATATATCTAAAAGTGTTTTTATTTCAATTTTTGATGTAAAACTAGGATCATTTTTTAATCTTTTAATAAGGACAATTATTGCTTCCTTTACTGGAACTGAAGGATATAAATTAATGGTGTCAAAAGAAACTTGGATTTCATCTTTGTCAATATTCCATGATTTAACTAAGTTCACAAATTGTTGAGAGTTTTTAAATGTGTATTTAAATGTTAAGAATTTTGTATATTGCCCTTCCAATAGCGCTCATGAATATTTAATGGGTTTTTATTTTTACATGTTATTACATTTTTACTGTTATTACGAGGGTACAGTTCTAAAACTGAGGGCAGTTATTAGTAAGTTTTCCTAAACTATGTAGTAACTTTCAGAGAAGTTGTATTAGCAGCTGTAAAATATCAGAGTATTAATAATCTTGTGTTCCACACAGATGTTACACATGGAAGTTGTTACAACTTTAGTTTGAACATAGCTTATTATGTAGGAAGCCATGTACATACCTATAATCAAGTCAGGTTTTTAACTAATTTGAAACTAATTTATGTCTATAATACTTAATAATGTAAAACCACTGTTATCAGCAAATTCTTTGATTTTATCAATTACAAATATTTGCAGTAACTTTCATCTGTTGAATATTACTTTTTGCAAAATTCATCAGACTTATTTGCTTTTTGTAAGACTAATTTAAATTCAGCTTTTTTTTTTTAAATCTTGCTGTTGAATGCAATTATCCTTTGATTTGACTCCATTACTCGCATGATTGGTCCAGGCATTTACTTACATACTTTTGTTTTGAATTTTCTGACTATTCTTTTATGTACTTTTGCTTAGCACTTCTTCAAACAATCAATTTTATGTACTTTTGCTCAGCACCTCTTTACAAAATCAATTTTATTTCTATTTTTTATTATTCTTGTTGCTTCCCACCACAATGCTCTTATAATCGAAGTTGTTTCTGATCAAATTGACATGATCTTTTTTTATCTCTTAGTAAATGTTGCATTTATTGGTGACTTTAATCACATTAAATGTGGTTCTAGTACCACAGAGCTTGTTGGCTCTAAGGCTCAAATATTCTCTTTCTAAATTTCTTGCTCAGGTAGTTAAACTTGTGACTAGATTTTAAGATAATTACTTACCTTTACTTTTTGATTTGTGCCTTGTCTCTGATCCTAGTGGGCCGATGTTTTTTGTTAAAAAATTCTTCCTTCTTTATAATCTCCTAAACTTTTGCAAAAGTGTAAAACAATGTGTACTGGAGTACAAAGTGTAAAACAGGTGTGCCAGAATTACGACTGGAACTTGTAATTTTTAGTTAATTCCGGTTCCAGCTGGAATTACAGTAATTTAGGCCAGAATGCTGGAATTCATTTTTTTACCTTGATTTTAAGACATGTGACAGACTATGTAAATTAAATCAAAAAATCATTGCCTTATAGGCAATGAAGAAGGAAAGTCTAGGTAAAAAATACAAATTTCTAAATGAACACAATGTAATTTAATTTGCAATAATCAATTATTTAAGGATTTTTAGAAATTTAGGAATATATTAAAAACTAGCTTTTTTGTCATCAAATATATTATCTGCCTCTGAGTCTTTCTGAAAAGACAAATGAAGCAAAGTTTTCTTGCTATACAACATATATGAGGATAGTAAGCCTATTATCGCTCTACCATTTTAATGCTGCTTCTTCATTTTCTAATTTACATATTTTTTTCCCAGCCATAAAAAAAATCTTTTTTTTATCACTTCATCTGCTATTGCAATAATCATTCTTTGCTTCTTCGCTTTAGGGTTACTTTCTCTTTCTTCTTCTCTTTAGGGTAACTTTCTCTTTCTTCTCTTTAGGGTTACTTTTTCTTCTGCTATTGCAATAATCATTCTTTGCTTCTTCGCTTTAGGGTTACTTTCTCTTTCTTCTTCTCTTTAGGGTAACTTACTCTTTCTTCTTCTGACTCAAGGCAACTAAAAAAAAATTTAGATTGTTATTCTTAAATTTAATGCCTATTAAGCTGATGTAGATGGCTGACAACCTTTATTGGTTGGTGAGAAATCAGCACTATCGGAGGAAGATGAATTCATTTCTATCATATCAGTTTCTTTTTGTGATCTTATGATCCTTTATCTTGGACAAAAGCCAACTTTGAGCCAAATATACTTGCTTATCTAAGAAGAGTGACATTTTATACATTGGATCAACAGCTCTTGACAAAACCTGTACTTTACTCACTAGTACATTAAAGTTAACTTGTATAAGAACATTACTTGTGAATCTTTTTTCGATAGACTCTCTGCTTCATTGATTGGACTCAATAATAATTTTCAAGGATTCCTAGAAAATTATGTAATGCACCTATATTGCTAATTAGTGATGGCAACACAAATCTTTTGAGAGTCACAATTCGATCCAACTTTAAATATGTATTTTTCCATCATTTTGGAACAACTAGGATTGGTAATGTGTTGAATTTCAGAATCTTTCTGTATTCTGTATTTTCTTTAAAATTCTTTCTGTACTTATTTTGTTTTGGTGCAACTCTTTTGCATAATTTTTTTAAACAATTATGAAAAAGTATCAAAATAATTTTAATGAAATAAGTTTACTCTATAATTACATATAACTACATATAATCAGATAATTAAATAAATCTTCAAATAATAACAGATAAATGTGTATATATATATATATATATATATATATATATATATATATATATATATATATATATATATATATATATATATATATATATATATATATATACAAAAAGTATTGCGTACTATTGTAAGCAATCTGACATCATACTGAATTAGCCTGCTGCTGGGGGCTTCAGTACATACATCGACTGACAAATAGCTTGACTCGCAGTGGAGTGCTGCTACATCGACTGAGGGTTTGGGATGGGGAAGCAATCGTTTCATTCATCATTCTTCGTTTTTTCTTCTTCTTTTTCAAAAAAAACGGTATAGCTTAAGGTAAGTAGAAAAAGTGAACAAATGCTTATCAAAACATGCTTTAGAAAGTGTGTGTATATATATATATATATATATATATATATATATATAAAGTATTGCGTACTATTGTAAGCAATCTGACATCATACTGAAATAGCCTGCTGCTGGGGGCTTCAGTACATACATCGACTGACAAATAGCTTGACTCGCAGTGGAGTGCTGCTACATCGACTGAGGGTTTGGGATGGGGAAGCAATCGTTTCATTCATCATTCTTCGTTTTTTCTTCTTCTTTTTCAAAAAAAACGGTATAGCTTAAGGTAAGTAGAAAAAGTGAACAAATGCTTATCAAAACATGCTTTAGAAAGTGTGTATATATATATATATATATATATATATATATATATATATATATATATATATATATATATATATATATATATATATATATATATATATATATATATATATATATACATATATACATATATATATATATATATATATATATATATATATATATATATATATATATATATATATATATATATATATATATATATATATATATATATATATATATATATATATATATGTATATATATATATATATATATATATGTGTGTATATATATATATATATATATATATATACATATATATATATATATATATATATATATATATATATATATATATATATATATATATATATTTTTGATTTTACACTTTCTTTTTCGATTTTTTTAAGGTTTATCTCTTACAACCTTTTCTTATAAACTAAAAATATTATATTACTTTTAATCTATGAATCTATATTGATGTTGATTTGAATTAAACACATTTGATATTGATTTCAGAGTTTACTTACAGGTAGTATATTCTAATTAATAAAGATTTCAAGTATTATTTTAATGGCAAATATAACTTTGCAGTTTAAGAATAATAAAATGATATGGCTGGTAACCTGGTAATAAAACATTGCAAGTAAGAATAATAAAACAATATGATTGCTAACCTGGTAATGTTAAGATAAAAACAAATTTTTTTTATTATCTCATATCATATATAATTTCTCACTTACATTTACAATTTGACAAACTGCCAATGGCCATCTTTGAACAAGCATAAGATAATCCCACTCAGTAGAATTTGAAAACTCTGCTGAAGATTTTATAGCAAAACATTTTCTTAAATAAATAAAAAAACATTAACAATATTCTAGAACTGCACATAAAACTATATAGATACACAATACTCTAAAGTTTTTTTCACTCTACTTTGATAGAAAACTACCACCCTCTGTTAAGCTAATATACTTTGTATCAGTTACAACCTTAGAGGAAACAACACATTCATATACCACGTTTTTTGATAAACGATTTCCACTTATTGGAAAAAAAATTTTTGTTTATAATAACAACTACGTTTTTTCATTTAGGGTGTCTTTTTTGTTTAACTAAGCATTATTGTGACCTTTTAAAATTCTTTCCATAATTATTATGCAACTGTAGCTAACTTTAATTGTATTTCGGTTAAAATCTTTATGTAATTTATTAGAGGGCGGGAAATGCTTATCGAACAATTTTAAAAACACTTTTCCTATGTTAGTGGAAACATTTTTGCTATATGAGGGGGGGGGGGGTTGAACCAAATTACATTTCTAGTTCCATTTTGCTTTTTTTGTATTTTTTTTTTTCAGGGTCAAATTTTAGGTCAAAATTTGACTTTTTTGAAGAGCATCTTCAAAAATTCGTTTAAAGGAATTGAATACATTTTCATTCGAAAAGTTTTGGTTTAACCTGTTGTTAATTGAAATTGGTATTTGTTTCAGAATTTGAGGTGGACTTAATATTATTATACAGTAATTCATCCCATAAGCACTTTATTAAAAGAATTCGTTGGAAAGCCCATTTATTTTGCCGTTAAAGAATTTTGGCCATTAAAGAAACATTGCATATGCATATATAAAAAATAATGGCTGGAGCAAAATAAGACATTTTTGCCTTATCGCAAATCCCCATATATATGAAAAAACGTAGTAGTAATTGTAAACAAAAAAACAATTGTCTAATAAGTGGAAATTTTTTATCAAAAAACGTGGTATATAAATGTGTTTCCTCTCAAAATGTACCTGATACACAATATATTGGCTTATTAGAGGGTGAATGGAAAAAATGTTTTGCTAATCATAAGTAATCCTTTAAAAATAAAAAGTAATCAAAAGACACCATGCAGTCAAATACATATGGGAATTAAAAGATAAAAATATTGATAATTTTATATTGAATTGGTCCATCCTTAAAACAGCACCTGCATATAACAATGTTTCCAAAAAAATACATACTATGCCTATGTTGTGTTTTGATTATTTACTTTGTTTATTTTAGAGTAGAAAAACTTATAAGAATTAAAATATTGTTGTTCTTTATACAAGTGTTTCAATTTTCTACTCTTATCAAAATAAAATATGGGTAGAGCTCTAAGACCTTCTCGCTTGGATACATTACCAAACTCATCTTCGGCAACAAAATTATTTAAGTATTGGCTCAGAACATTTGAATATTATCTTGATGAACTCCCTCAAGAACTCAATAAGTTAAAAATCCTGACTAATTTCGTTGTGCCCGATGTTTATGAAATAATAAGCAAATGTCCAAATTATGAAGCAGCAATACAAGCTTTACAATCTGTGTACATCAAACCATCAAATGAGGTTTATGCATCAACAATTGGCATGTTGGTTAATGGTTCATTTGTAAATGCTCTCATTGACAGTGGTAGCACTGATAGTTTTATTCACCCTCGATTGGTACAAAAACTAAACCTAACAGTTCATAGACAAAACCAAAAACAGGTATCTATGGCTTCATCATCTTTATCTAGTACAATTTGTGGAGTAGTTTTTGTCAATATTTCAATAAAAAATGAGCATTATAAACTAGTAAAACTTAACATCTTAAATGAGTTATGCATGGATGTTATTCTGGGTCTCGATTTTCAAAAACAACACAAAGCTGTAACCCTTAAGTTTGAAGGAAAAAAAAACCCACTATTAATTTGTGGTTTGTCGAAGTTGGATGTATCTCCTCCTAGTTTATTTGGCAATTTATTGCCTAACTGTAAACCAATAGCTTAATAATCTCGTCGATATAGCAAAGAAGACCAATTATTCATTGAAATGGAAGTACAACGTATGCTTAAAAAGGACATTATCAAACATGCAAATTCTTTCTGGAGAACTCAGGTTGTTGTAACTAAAGGAGAATGCTCTAAGAAAAGATTAGTTATTGACTACAGTCAAACAATAAATAAGTATACTCAACTAGACGCTTACCCATTACCAAGGATTGATGATCTAGTAAACAAAATTGCTCAATACAAAATATTTTGTACAGTTGATTTAAAATCAGCCTACCATCAAATTCCAATTACCAAAAATGATAGAAAATTTACAGCTTTTGAAGCAAATGGGAGGTTGTTCCAATTTAAGCGAATGCCTTTTGGAATTGAAAATGGCGTTGCTTGTTTTCAACGTACCATAAACGAATTTATAGAAAAAGAAGGACTTTTAGATACTTATGCTTATCTAGATAATGTGACAATATGTGGTAAAACCCAAGAGGAGCATGATATTAATCTGGAAAATTTCTCAAGTCAGCTGAAAATATAAATCTTACTTATAATCATTATAAATGTAGCTTTCCCCAAGATAAAATTTGCATTCTTGGTTATCTTATAGAAGAAGGAAAGCTCAAACCAGATCCTAGTCGTCTTCAACCTATGAAAGAAATGCCTCCTCCTCATGATGCTAAATCCATGAAGCGTATCATCAGACTATTCTCATACTATTCTAAATGGATTCCAAACTTTTCCGATAAGATAGCTTCTCTTACCAAAAACACCAAGTACCCATTAGATCATCAGTGTGTAAATGATTTCAATCAACTTAAACAAGACATTGCAAATGCTGTAACAGATTATGTGAACGAAAATGTTCCATTTGAAGTAGAAACTGACATTGCTATAGCTGACGCATCTGACATTGCTATAGCTGCAGTTCTTAATCAAAATGGCCGCTCTGTAGCTTTCTTTTCAAGATTACTTCAAAAATCTGAACTCAAACATCCCTCTATTGAGAAAGAAGCTTGCGCAATAATAGAAGCAGTCAGGCATTGGAAACACTGCCTTACTGGACACCATTTTAAACTTATTACCGATCAGCAACCTGTGTCCTATATCTTTGAAAAGCAGCATAAATCAAAGATTAAAAATGATAAAATTTATCGATGGAAAATTGAACTATCGTGCTATAATTATGACATTGTTTACAGGGAAGGGAAACTAAATATTCCAGCTGACACATTTTCTAGAATACATTGCTCAGCAATAAACACTAACAACTTAATTCAGCTTCATCAATCACTCTGCCATCCTGGAGAAACTAGGTTTTATGCTTTTATTAAAAACCGTAATTTACCTTTCTCAATTGATGATGTTAAACAAATAACTAATCAGTGTAAACTATGTTGTGAATGTAAGCCTAGATACTACAAACCACTAAAATCTAATTTGATAAAGGCACCACAACCACTGGAACGTTTGAACTTAGATTTTAAAGGACCTCTTCCTTCGGAAACTAATAACAAGTATTTTTTAACCATAATTGATGAGTATTCTCGTTTTCCTTTTGCAATCCCGTGCCCTGATATTTCAGCTCAGACTGTAATTAAGACATTTACGTAATAATAAGTATGAACCACTGGTAGACGAAGTGCAACTCATAGATGCTAATCCTCAATATGCTCACATAAAGTATCCAGATGGAAGAGAAACCACAGTTTCCCTAAGACACTTAGCTCCAACAAGTTCTGCTCCGATCATTGATCAAACAAATCATATTGAACCTTCACCAGAGAATGCCTTTAATAATGTTGAACCTTCACCAGAGAATGCTTTTAATAAATCTTCTTACCCCTATAAACCATTAACACCTGAGAAATATAGATTTACCAATACCAATCCTGAAAACTTTCCTAATCAGCCTCCCCTTTATCAACCTCCACTAACTGAAAATCTTGTCAACGACGCTTGTCCGATCAATCCGTTGTTATTAATAACACCTGGAAAAGACACACGTAGATCCTCAAGAGTAATTCGTCAACCATTACGACTTATAGAAGAAGATACATGAAGAACCTTGTTTATATTATAGTATATTCTGTTAATATTATGGCTGCAGAGAATGTTGTGTTTTGATTATTTTGTTTATTTTAGAGTAGAAAAACTTATAAGAATTAAAATATTGTTGTTCTTTATACAAGTGTTTCAGCCTACAAGAAAAATTTGAAATAATTTCACATGCAAACTAAGAATGTTTATTAAACAAAAAATCTGAATTTCTAAATGCAGCACAAAAATAAGTTTTTCCTGAAAAACTATAAAAAATAAGTGAGCTTAAATAATAATTACATTAAGTCCCCCTTTTAAAAAAAACTTTTATAAAATAGCAGAAGTCAATTCTAAAAAATTATTTTTATAATAGTGTCAGCATATTCCACAAATGTGTGAAAGTTTACTTAACTTAGTTAAACAACTTCCTATAAATTAATTTTTGGTATAAAATGAAGTTTTATTAATTTGATCACTTATTTCTGATGAGTCTTTATTGACAAAACAAAATTAGATCTTTATATATGATATAAGGATCTTATATATAGAACCAGATTTTATAATGTTATAATTTAATAAGAAATTATGAATATACAGTTTATTTTACATACACTTAATTTAAATAACCAAGTATTAAAATATTCTTATTTACTTATTGCATTATTTTTTACATTGTTTTTGAATTTCCAATTAAATTATTATTTAACAATTCTTTAACACAACTATAGATTTAATGATGTGTATATAGTCTATTTTTAAATAGTTTCTGCTCAATGTCACTCTGAAAACATGCTCAATAAATTAAAAAACATAACTGTAACAAAAATACTACATTTGTTTTTGTAAGAAATTTTGGAAATTGTTATGTACTATTAATAACAATACCAAGAAAAGTATTAACAAAAGTAGTAATTTAATTATTAAAAAAACTATTTTTTACCTTGCAATAATAAGAGTAAAAATAAACCAGATGATTATCATTGTGTTCTTCATTTTTAATTCTAAAATGATTTATTTTGATGTTTTCATTTTGTATAACTTGTATACAGGGTCATCCCAAAAAGGTGGTGTCCCATGGCGGATTGTCATATGTGTTTTTTGCTAACTAGACTCTAGTTGGCTAGGGACAAAAATATATGTAAAAAAAAAAAAAAGGTCCTCGTAATTTGATATTTGCAAACTATATTTTAAAATTTGTCAAATCAAATGCTAAATGTACAAATGTGCCAACTCAAATGCATATATAAAAAGGTGGCGTCCCATGGCGGGTTGTAATATGTGTTTTTTGCTAACTAGACTCTAGTTGGCTAGGGACAAAAATAAATGTAAAACAAAAAAAAAGGTCCTCGTAATTTGATATTTCCAAACTATACTTTAAAATTTGTCAAACCAAATGCTAAATGTACAAATGTGCCAACTCAAATGCATATATAACAGCTTTAGGGGGGTGGGATACCCCTACACCCCCTGTTCAGGACGACCTTGCTTGTATATTTTGCATAATGAATAAATTTTCTATAATTCTTGCTCAAATAATTCTAATACAAAAATAATATATAAATATAATACATAACATGCAGATGTGAACACATATATACATACTATTAATAATTACATATTAACTACATGCATACAATATGCATACATATATCTGCCTATATAGAGTATGCACACATATCTACATATTTACATATATACATGTGTATAATACCTACATATTTACGTTTATGTGTATAAGATGCACATAAACTATGGTCCACAATTATTTGAGTGACAAACTTTTTGTTTAAAAGCTTTAATTATATAATTTTTTAATTTTTTTTTTTTTTTTTGCATTATTTGATAATTTTATAAATATAAATGTATTTTGAATAAAATGCTTTGATAAAATAATAAAAATAATTAAGTGGGCAAAACTACATAAAAAATGGACTACAAACGAATGGAAATGTGTTCCGACATGTTGAAGTTTTAAATCTTTGGTTTCAAGAGAAGATTGTTTGTCCGAAGGAAAAGTTGCTAAATGTATGATAGAACAGTGTGTATTATTAACTGTGAAACATGGTAGATGTAATGTTAAGGTGTGGGACTGTTGGGTCGGAATGTCATATATATATATATATATATATATATATATATATATATATATATATATATATATGTATATATATATATATATATATATATATATATATATATATATATATATGTTTATATATATATATATATATATATATATATGTTTATATATATACAGGGGCTATTTTGGGTGTTGCCCAAATTAAAATTTGAGGACCTTTTTTTTTTTTTTTTTTACGGCAAATATTGTTATTTTCAATATCTACCCTCCATAATTATTTGAGTGACAAACTTTTAAAATACTTTAACTAAATAATTTTTTGATATTTATTATTGCATTATCAGATAATTTTATAAATATAAAATTAAAGTATTTTGATAAAATTAATAAAAATGCCAAATTGGGCATAACAACATAAAAAAAAAAGTTTTAAATCTTTGAGTTAAAAAGATTGTTTGTCAAAAAAAAGTTCTTTAATGTATAATAAAACAGTGTGTGTCATTGACTGTGAAACATGGTGGACATTGTGTTAAGGTGTAGGGCTGTTTTAATCAAGCATGGGGGATGTTGTGTTAAGGTGTAGGACTGTTTTAATCAGAATGCCACAGGTGACTATGTAAAAAAATAGAGGGAATACTATCAAAAGTAGTTTATTTGGACATTTTTCCTGAAGAATGTCTAAAGTTCTTTAAAATTCGCTCTTGTTATGTTTTGTCTTCTTATTTATTATGAAGAGAATTCAATGTTGGTTTTTATTTAAGATTTATTTCAATATTGGTATATTAAATTATTACAAATATTACTAGTTTATATATAAAACTATGTGTAGTTTTGTGTCGAAACTTCATCTGTCTTTAAGTTCAGCGGAACTGCTTTTAAGCGAGAATTCCTCGTGTGGAATTCTCTCAAGGGAATACTTTCATAATCAGTTTTCATGCAATTTGCAAAAGGGAATTGCTTGTTTTGCAATCGCTGATTGCTATTCTGAATTAGCGTTATAAAAGATTGCTAGAGGGAATTGTTTTGCATAACAATCATTACACCTTCCTTTTTTTAAAAATGCATTTTGTAATCAATGTAATGTTTTGGCTTCCTCGAAATTATTCCTGATTTGTGTTATTCAACAGTTTTTTTTTACCCATGAATATGTCTTTTGATTCATTCATATCGCTTTCATTATCGGATAAATTGACATCCTAATCTACTTCTTCTTTTGTTTTTAGTACATGCCTTCTGTTTCTTCTAACAATTTTTCCATTTAGGGTTTTTACATTGAAACTTGGTTGCTGTTTGCTCTCAACAATTTTTCCTGGTTGCCATTTATTTCCATCATGTATACGAACACAGTCTCCATCACTTACGTTTTCCAATGTTTTTGCATTTTTGTCATAATATTTCCTTTGTAAGTTTTGAACTTTTTCACAATTCTTCTTATATTTATTTACATTGATTGGATTTACTTGAAGTAGTGACAGAGAAGTAGGAAGTGTTGACCTCAATTTTCTTCCACTGGTGAGCTGAGTAGGTGATGCAAGATTGTCAACAGAAGTGTTTTTTACCTCTAGTAGAGCTTTGTACTGATTTTGATTTGACCTTTTTTGCTTTGGTTAGCAGGTTTTTTGCTATTTGTACATGTTTCTCAGCCATTCCATTTGATTGTTGATACTGAGGGCTACTAGTTATATGTTTAAACTCCCACTCTTTACTGAATTTTTGGAATTCTGAAGATATGAATTGTGTGGCGTTGTCGCTCCGTACTATTTGCAGTATACCAAGTCTGGAGAAGATCATTTTTAGTTTCATTATCACTATTTGAGATTGAATGTTATGTAACCTTTCGATTTCCCAATAACAACTATAATAGTCGACCACTATTATAAAATCCTGATTATTCCAGTGAAATAAGTCAGTTCCCACAATTTAAAACTGGTGATTTGGTATTTTGCTTGATATCAATAACTCTCTAGTTTGTTTTTTTGTGTATTCCAGACATGTTTCACACGACTTTACTAAATCTTCAATTTGTTTGTTAATGCCTGGCCAAAATACAGTTTCTCTTGCTCTCATTTTAGTTTTTTTAATCCCCATGTGTGCTAGATGTAGTTTTTTAATTGTTGCTTTTTGTATTGATGTTGGAATTAAAATTAAATGTCCTTTGAAAATTATTCCTTCTATGAGTGTCAGTTCCTCTTTAAACGACAAATAGGGTTTTACTGAGTTTTCAACCTTTTTTTTATCCTGCGGCCATATATTTGTTATGTAGTTCGCTACAACATTTAACATAATATCTTTGAGCGTGTTTGTTTTTATTTCTTTGAGGTTTTCTTCTAATGATGAACAGTTTGCATAAACCATATTCACTTGAGCAATCATTTCATCCTCTGGGATTTCTTCTTTTAATTCTTTTCCTTGTTTTCCTTCAATCCATTTTACTTTGTTTAGAGTAGATATTTCTTTTTGCTGCAACTTAGCTTCGTTCATGTCTACAGTTTTTACTTCATTTAGTAGTTTGATATCTTTTAAGTCTTGTGAAGTTTGTAAGCTAAGAAAAAGTTTGCTTGTTTTTTAACTACATAGAATTTAACCAACTTTTTACAACTTTTGTAGCAACACATTATCTTTGATGTTTCAAGCACTGGAATGTGATTTCCTCCATAACCACGTAGTTTAACATTTGTATATATGAGATTATCACATGGTGTTAGTTGGTCATAGACTCTTTTTGGCATAACATCAACTTTAGCTCTAGTGTCAATTTTTTCACGTACCAATTTATTATTAATTTTTAAGATTATCAAAGCTTCTTTTTTACCATTCATTTCACCAGATGATACAGATTCCATATGGTATTCTATAGCGCAATTTTCGTATATGTTTTTTGCATACAAGTTGCCCAATGATAAAATAATTTATTACATTTACGGTACGTTTGACCGAATGCAGGACAGTTTCTTGGTTCATGTTTTCTATTGCATTTCTTGTCTTTGTTGTTGTTTTTTATTTTAGCCATTATTGATTTGTTTCCATTTTTTCCATGTAACAGCTATATTGGATTCATTGAAGTCCATTTCGCTTGTATTTGGCAAAAAGTGTTCCAATTTCTTTTTCTTTTTAAAGTAAGTACTTTTCCAAAATCTCTTCTTAAAATGTCTTCAGTTCACTTCTAGTACCATGTAATGTTTTGTCTTCTTATTTATTATGAAGAGAATTCAACATTGGTTTTTATTTGATAATTATTTCAATATTTGTATATTAAATTATTACAATTAGTTTAAATATAAAACTATGTGTAGTTTGTATAAAACTATGTGTAGTGTCGAAACTCCAACTGTCATTAAGTTCAGCGCAACTGCTTTTAAGCGAGAATTCCTCGTGTGGAGTTCTCTAAAGGGAATACTTGTGACCATTGTATTGGTTTTTACGTAGGAGAGCATAACACTAAACTAATATTAACTAGCTTGGCACTGTGCTGTCCTGCATAAAAACCAGGACAATGGTCACCCTATATATACATAATATTTATATCTACATATATACATAATATTTCATGCATGGATGGACAAACAACTTTCAAAATAAAAATTTTATATAAATTTAAAAAAAAAACAGCATAATTAAAAAAAGCAATTGAAGCATTAACTTTAAGTTAAGATTTAGATAATTGAAAAATGAAGCAAATAACAATTTTTATTTGATAGTTTTAGTAAAGCAATTACACTCTGGTAAAAGTTGATTTTATTTATATCCAGGGTGTCTTCTGGATCAGGGAAAACAGGGAAAAGTCAGATAATGAAAAGTCTGTATCTTATTGGGTTTAAAATATTTAAATGAAAATAAACTTATTCAAGTATCTATGGATGACCCAAATGCAAAGCCTTCAGCCTTTGTGCAAGAGCTATAAAATTATTTTATCTGCTACTAAAGATCTTTTAATTTTTGTTAAATTTCATTTCTTTGCTCATGTAACAAATAAACTTCTAAATTCATTAAAGCTGATGTTTTAGATCAATGTAAAACTGCAAACAGCCAGCTCCAAAACAGGTGATTTAATTGTTAAAGACATAAAAGACTTACAATCCAAAAAGATTATTCTTAGTAGAAAAAATATAAAGCGATTCAGAAGTTCTTGTGAAAGCTATGGTTATTCTGGAAGAGAAGAAAAAGAAGAAAGAAGACATTAAAAAATTAGATGAGAAAAATGATTTGTTGTAAAATTAAAGTATATCAAGTAAAAAAGTAAAGAATATTAAGAGTATTTATGAATTTATTAAATTATTTAGTTTTTTAAGAACTTAAGAATTGTTTAGTTGGCTTATTTATTTGAGATCTATTTTTGTTCTTTAATATATAAGTTGATTTGAGCTGGAAATTCTTGTTTAAAGTTTAGTTTTCTTTGTTCACGATATCTTCTACCAAAGCAGTTTATAGAGTAAATAGGAAAAAAAACATTTTTGAATACTAACAAGAATAAAATAAATGTAACAATAGGGCTTTATTTTAAAGCATATGGTTTGTTCATGTGCTACATCCAAATCCTTGCTAAAGATTATGTCTTAAGGTAACTGAAATAAAGATCAGGGAGAACAGGTTAAGGATCAGGAAAAAATCAGGGAAATCCATATTAAGATAATCACAGACACCATGACATTTTTATTTTCCAACAGTTAGGATTCAAATCAATATCTACAACTATTTTGATTTTCCAAAAGAAAAAACTGACATGATGAAAATATTTTTTATGTGAATAATTAATAATTAATCTTTTTATAAATAGAAAACTGATAATACATGATGGAAATATTTTTTATGTAAAAAAATGATAATTAATCTTTTTATAAAGACAAAGACGAGCTGATTAATTATTTAAAAGGATTTAAAATTGTATCTAAAAGTTTTTTTGCCACAATGTTGTTTGTTCTTAAAAGACTTCTTTGCTTGTATCATATATGCTCTAATAAGGCCATGATATTAAATAAATCCTATAATTGGCCAGGTAAGTTTGTCAAGCCATGGTAAGGATGTAAAACCCCCATTAAAAATAATCACACCAGTATGTAACCAATTGATACTAAACTTTTTGTTGAAAAAAAATAAATTATAATGACAAATATAACACCAAAAACTTCATTTTTGTGATTATTTATCTGTATATGATCAATTCTTCAAACAATTGTTAAGAATGTATGATTTTTCTCAAATCATTGTAACATTCATTTTAAAAGTATGCTTTAGTATCAAGACAGTTAAAGCTGCATCTTTTGTATATGTTACAACCCTTCTTTTAAAGTAAATTTGAAGACTAAACTGCACTTGTCACTATCCAAACAAGCATTATTGAATTTATACAAACAATATAAATGAAACTTAACTTCTTTGCTACAAAGAAGCACAATCTTCCTACTTATCAGAAGAAAAACAAACATTGTAACAACACATTTGTATTATTCTTATGGGTTTTGCAAAAAACTAAAGTTTTTATGTCCAAGACGATGTACAAGGGTTTTACGACCCAGCCAATCAAGCAACATTACAATTGTTCACTGTTTATTACAAAGATTAAAAGAATAAACTTAAATGTGACTAATAAATGAACATTATTAGTATTAGACTTTAGGGGTAATCAGAACAGTTCTGTTGCCCAGCCACAAACCCCCCTTTCTTTATCTATTAGGCTGGTGTAAACATAAACCTGTATTATATTGTTTCCTGTCTAAGATAATGAATGCTGGATCTTTTTGTCACTAGTCATAGATTTTTGCTTGTGCTCTGATAGTGGCTATACATATATGCAACTCTTCCTGAACTTGGTGGTAAATCTTAGGGAGGCTGATTCCAACAACAGCTGTAAAATATCAGAGTATTGACAGTGCCTTTATGCACGTAGATAGTGCCCCTGTTAATGCTTTTGGTGTGCATTGTCAAGGTCGCATAAGGAGCCATAAGTTAATACTTTGGGTTATTTAACAATACTGAGACAACTGCATAGCTCAGGCCTTGTTAAGAAGGGTTACGCAGTTTGCATTTCTACGAAATGGCAATTTGCATACGGGTTCAGCAACTTTACATTAAACAAACTTTTTCATTTTGGAATATTTAAATTATCTTTTCATATTGCTTATGTGACATTTATTCAGAAAATATTAAAGCATAAAAAAAAGCATTTAACTGCAACTGCGAATTTTTTTGTAATACAAACTAATTATTTTATATAGTTTTTTATTTAATTAAAAGTCTTTAAATTAAACATGATTTTAAAAAATAAAAATTTAAATTTAGTTTTGAAGAAATATAAAATAGTTTAAATATAGAATGTAAAATTTAGCTTGAAAGAAATGTAAAAGAGTTTTACAATATTTATTAAATAAGAAATTTTTATCTGCTAAATAATTCATTAGGTAAAACATAATAGTCTTTCCAACATAAAGTTTTTAAAAGCAAACAAAATAAAAAACATTTTTTTAATTTTAAAAAACAAGAAGTGTTTTTGTTTATGAGAATTCTTTTCACAAATAAAAAAAAAAATAATTTTTTACTTTCTAATAATTCAATTATTTGTAAAGTTCTTTTGACAAAATTTAATTATGAATATAAATTATGTTTACAAGTATTTTATTGGTAACTGATAAAAACTGTTTATAATCTTTATTAAAAATTTTTTAATAAATATATAAAATAAGTGGTGATAAACAAACAAAATATTATCTTTATTACAATATTGATTTAAGAAATGAATTGTAAAAAAATATAATCTTTTTCAAATACCGAACTTAGATTTCATCAGTAATTTTTGTTATGTTTATTGAAGTAATTTTTAACAATGTGATTAAATTTCAACATGCTAATGACACAATTTAATTTTTAACAATGCAAATATCAAAGCTGTATCGAAGTAACATTTAATAGCATTATGCGTTTTTGTTAGGCAATAAAATCTCAAAACAAGGCTTGATAGTTTATTGCTATTAAGATGTGCATTAAGATTAAAGCTTGCATTTAGTCTTCAAGAACGCATAAAGCAAAATAATTTATTTTACACCGCTTAACTGCAGATTCACCAAAAACCATGTAATATTTAAAGTATCAATGAGTTCAAAATTTAGTTGGTTTATAATACAATATAATACCCTTTAATACAATCAATACAATAAAGATATAATATAAAATAAAACAATACGATTGGATTATATGAAAATCCAACTAAATTTTCATTTCATTCATATATAATATATGTATGCGCTATTTAATAAATTAGAAATAACTTAGCTTGATATAATACATATCAAGCTAGGTTATTTATAATCTATTTCTAAGTTATATAATTTCTAAGCTGGATACACTATCAAGCTATGATGTATCCAACTTAGCTTGATATATATTATACCAAGCTAAATTTTTTTTTAGGCTACGTATTTATCAAAAAAAGCTAATTTTAGGTTTTTTATTAAAAGGTTTAACATTAGCTTTTTTTGATAATTATCTATAAGTTCTAAATTAAACAAATTTTTCCCAATATTTCAAAAAGCTTTTAATTTTTTGAAATTAATAAATATAAAATACATTTTTAAGTTGATTATACAAAGAAAACGGTAAAGTCGTAAAATTAAAATCAAGTAAATTAGTTGTAAAATTAAAAAGACTGATTACCATTCAATATATCAAAGCTCAGCAAAGCAGACAAAGTTTTTGTCAAACTCCAAAATAAGACAATGTTTGAAGAACCATTTGAGTTAAGTGTAAACCACTGATCTTAACAATAACATAATATTGTTTTTAAGATCAGTGAGAGCAAACACTAAAACACAAAGACGCTTGGTTTCCATACATTTTAAAAAAGTCGCAAAACCGTTAGGTTTCATGTGGAGCGTAAAATTTAAACTGCCTTAAAAGTCTTAATTTTCCGGTAAATGACGTCGTGAGTTACATTTTCCCAGGAAATGATGATTGGAGTGGTAAGTTAGGACTCTAAAAGGTATTATTTACAAGTCGCAATCGATTACATTGAAGTCATTAACATTTAAAATACTTGGAGAAAGTCTTAATTGATCGCTTAAAAAGTTTTAACGTAATGAATAATAATGTTCCGTAACTTTTTTCATAAGTAAATAAATAAACAATTAACAAGTTAACGCACACGTGCTGCTTCGTGACGAAGGAAAAAAAACATTTCGATTTTGATAAGATAAATGAGTATCGTTGAAATAAAACATACCCTTCTACAATATCTACTTGGGATTATGGATTTAAACGGATTATTGCTTTTCAAATTTTTGAAAAGCAACAAAACGTTTTGATGTGAAAGGCGGACGTTTAATTTTTAAGAAAAGAATGGTTATCAAGGCGTTCTTGTTTATTGCTTTCGTCTATGTCCAGTTTATGCTTCACATCAAAGGCCATTGCCTTGTAGTGTTCAAAGAACCGCCAAATAGAAATAATTAGAGTTGTGCACCAAGGTATTGGAGATTCTGAACACTACAAGGCAATGGCCTTTGATGTGAAGCATAAACTGAACATGGACAAAGGCAATGAACAAGAACACAGAAAAGGAGATAGAGATAAAGAGCAGCCATTCAATCCCAAATTTTTTGATGCCACTTTTTCATCAACGAATCAATGCAACAATCTTTTTATCGCGGATAAAGCAAATGAAAATATTAAAGCTGCGCAGAATAAAAAAAGCGAGATTATAATGGTACACATATGTCGAAAACTAAAATTAAAGCCGGCTCTAGCTCAATAAGCGACATTGGTAATGAAAGAAGCGTGAACTTCCTAGTTGAATGCTCTTCCACGATGCTTTATCATAAGGCCGTAAGGAATTCTGGGAGCATCTTAATAACAACAACAATAACATCAACAAAATGCTCATACGTCATATGACAAGGACATAGTTTATATATTTATACTTCGTTATATTTCAGGACACGCGTTATAGAACACTTAGCGTATCATCTAATCATAAGTACAGCCGACAGCGGGCCGCCACAAGCACGCTTGAGCGCTCACACAGCTTGTGGTTATCAGAGCCACTTAACATTTTACCGATTGCCTGACTGGATGGAACAAATATAGATTGATTGTTTCCGTTAATGTTTAATATAAAAACGTGAAAAAAAAAAATAAAAAGAAAAGTTATTTACTAGTGTTTACTAGTCTGAATTTCAATAATAGAATTTCCATAGCAGCAATTGCAACAGCAGTCAAGGAATGGTTTTTCAAGCTATCCCAACACTTATTACGGCACAAAAGTGCAAAGTTTCAAAACGAAACAATCTTAGAATTGATGGTGTTAAGGAAATTCATGGCGAAACATGGGATGAGTGTGAAAAAATAGTTAAGGATATTTTTTCCAATAATCTTAAAATCAGCAAAAACATTATTATCGAAAGAGCACACAGGTCAGGTCTATTAAAAAAAGGTAAAGAGGAACGATTATCATCAAACTTTTCAATTTCAACGACAAAAAGTTAATTCTACAAAATTCAAAAAAACTACGCGGAACAGGAGAGTTCGTAAACGAAGACTTTGCAATGGAAACAGTAGAAAAGCGTAAAAAAACTCTGGGATGAAGTCGTTAAATTGAGAAAAGAAGGTATATAGTTGAACCTTGTGAAAACAGTGAACAAAATTCAATCTCACTGAGGAAAGTTAAACTAAATTTTAACAGTGAAGTTGACTTCACTTCAAAAGGTGGTGGATGTACTTGTTGTGTACCAAACTGTTTTAATAATTCTAAACGTAATAAAAACTTATCATTTTATGTTATAACCAAGGAAAAAGTGTTAAGAAAGTTATGGTTAGCCAAAATTAGCAGAAAAGACTTCACTCCTTCTTCTTCACACAGAGTTTGTTCAGCACACTTTCAAGGGAACAAAAAAACTTATATGAATAATGTTCCAACAATTATTCCAAAAACAGTTAAACTAACTGCTCATATTCCAAGGAAAACCAAAAATAGCCTTGGTTTATTACATAAAACAACTCAAATACCTTATAGTGAAGAACTGTCGACACCTGTTTTAAGCTACAAAGACAAATTAAAACAAGAAAATAAAATTTTTAAAGATCAAATTGAGGACATTATAAAAGAAAATCAAGCGTTAGTAAACACTCAAAAAGAAGCTATATGTAAGCTCAATGACAAAATACTTCTATCACAATTTACAGTTGAAAGGTTTAAACATAACAAAGAACATTTTAAATTTTACACAGGTTTTGAAAATTTTGAACTATTTAAAGTAGTCATGAAGTTTTTAGAACAAGAAATACATTCACTAAATTATTGGGGTTCAATGTCTACTATTGCTGACAATTTATCTGAAACTTCTTCATCTAAAACAAGAAGAAGATCACGTATATTAAATGTTGAAGAGGAATTTTTTATGGTGCTAATTCGACTACGTTGCGCCTTTCCTATAGAAGATTTAGCAATACGGTTTAATATTTCATCGAGCACTACCAGTAGGATATTAATTACTTGGTATGATTTTTTGCACATAAAATTTAGATCAATTCCAATATGGCCAACAAAAAAACTAGTTAATGAAACAATGCCTAGTTGCTTTAAAGATGTATACCCTAATACTCGTGTAATTATAGACTGTACAGAAATATTTACTGTGATGCCAACTAGCTATCGCACTCAATCAGCAATGTTCTCAAAATATAAACATCATCACACAGCAAAGGGTTTGATTGGTATTGCACCGAGTGGTGCCATTACATTTGTTTCTGATTTATATGCAGGAAGATCAAGCGATAAACAGATAACAAATCACTGTGGCATACTAAAATTATTAGAAAAAGGTGATAGCCTGATGGCAGATAGAGGTTTCGATATCGTAAATGACTTACCAAAAGAAATAAGTCTCAACATACCACCATTTCTTGAAGGCGATTTTCAACTTACTTTGGAAAAAGAATTAGAAACAAGAAGAATCGCATCTGTGCGAATTCATGTGGAATGTGCAATTGCAAGAATCAAAAACTACAAAATATTACAAAACACATTTCCACTTACAATGGCTGCTGACATGAACAAAATATGGGTCATAGTTTGTTATTTAGTTACTTTTCTACCACCTCTAATAAAAACTGATAGCAAATAATGTAACCGAACAAAAAAAGAAACATTTTATAAATATTTTGTAAATGTTTATTTTACTTTAAATATTTCTGTTGACATAAATTTGAAATAAAAATCTGTTAACTCTGGAAAAATAATTGTATTCCATAATTCCGCATCATACTCTATCGTTTCGATGTGCAATGACTTTTCTGTGTATACAATAAAATCAATTGTTTTAGTTTCTGTTAGTGCCATAATGCCTTGACACTGATAGTAATAAAGATGGTTTATTTTTAATTTTGGAGCACCATCGTTAAATTTCAAATAAAAATTTTTATCTTGACACGCTTCTTCAATTGTTAAATGTTTTTTTGAAGAAGGACATTTCACTTCAAGTACTTTTTCAGCGCTAACTACTCCATCAGGGCTACAACCCAACCAAGGGCATTTTGGGTTTATAAAAAAACCACATCGAGTAACACTTGACTTCGTTATGCTTTCATATAGTTTTATTGCTATATCTTCATTAACCTTTCCCCACATACAGCTTTCTCCTACTTTGATATTTTTAGTTTGTAAACATTTTTTTTAAATTGATGTTGGGTAAATTTTTTTCTATCTATTCATTACAGTACCAAAATTTGAAGCTGTCAATCGTTTGCATCTTTCTTGATACCATAATATACTTTTAGATTGTTTAACTGTATTGACTTCAATATTTTTAGCTTCCTCAATGTCAACAATTAAATGCAGTTCTACAAATGCTTTTTGTTCAGTAGACAAACAACTTAAATCAATCATATTTTGTATATTGTCAAATAGAGTAATAATAATCAATCCGTCATCTTTTTTACTAAAAGGTTCTGCAATATCATTGTCTATAAATGTTGACAGAGATGAATTAAAAAAGGAACATGCCTGAAAGTTATTATCACGAATTATTGAAGATATATATGTCCCCTGGCAGAGATTTTTTAAACCTTCACAAAGAGTTTGAAGTTGTAAAGTTGAAGTTTCGTAACAATTTGGTAATGAATGGTATCTACATGTTCCTGAAACTTTTTCGAGGTCTTTTTCGAGTACTATTCTTGTCTTTAAAAGCATCAGCTTTTTCAAAATTTAAGTTTGAAAACAAAATTGCTTCAGAGTTGGATGATTCACCTGGTACATGCCATATCTGTAAAACATCAGTACATGTTTCAGTTTCTGGGACCACTTTAATGTCTAACTCTTTATAGTCAACTAGTTGATATAATGATGCAGCAACATGCTTACAACAGCCCCCCGCTCCAGTTTTACAATGGCATTTAGCATAAAGTATTTCACCAGTAGATTGGCACAAGTGTATAAAAACTTCGTATTGTTTACGTTTCATAGAAGCAGCAACATTAGACTTTACAATAAACAAATTTATGGATGCTGTTACACTTTAGACTTTACAATAAACAAATTTATGGATGCTGTTACACATTAGACTTTACAATAAACAAATTTATGGATGCTGTTACACTTGCTTTAACACATAGGCACATAACACATGCTTTAACACATTGCTTTAACTACATTTTTGACATAGTTTTCTTTAAATAAACGATAGCCAAGAGTTTGGTGTTTATTGGCTCCTTTTTTACAATTATCAATATATATAGTATCATTAACAAGATATTTCTTGATAAAATTGTGAGATATATTTGGTAAAAGTGAAATGTCTTTTGACCAAGTTGATACCCAGTGGGCACCCGACGTTAATCCGACGTCGGATTTACGTACGATTTTCATCAGCGATGTCAAAAGATCTATTCCGACGTTGTTCCGATGTCAGTAAAATGACGTCGGGCGATGTCTTTATCTCAACATCCCCTGACGTCGTTTCGATGTATTTTGACGTTGTTCCGACATCTTATAAAAGAGGTCCAAAAAACGTCGCAGTACTGACATCGATCCAACGTCGATAAAAAGACGTCGGGCAACGTCATAATTTTAACGTACTCTGATGTCTTTTGACGTCTTCCGACGTCAATCCAACGTCCTTAAAACAACGTCGGAACGACGCCGTAAGACATCGCTGATGAAAATTTAATCCAAACCCAACAATATGTGTGCAATTGCGCTCTTCAATAAATATGTGAACTTAGCGTGTTTTTTATTAATGGAAAGAAGTTTGAATAATGGTTGATAAAACATAATGAGGTTTTGTATGATGCACTAGCATAGTTTTTTAACTACTAACATTTTCGAGTATACATTTTTTATAATATATAACTATTCGTTTTAATATTTATATAATATTTAAACAAAATTATTTCTTATCAAAGAAATAATTTCCAAATAGCTACAAGTATAAATTACTAAATAAACTCATTATTCAATATGTCCCTGTGGTGTAGTGGTAAGCGCGTAGGATTTAGTTTCTAATAGTCCGAGGATCGATTCCTGTCTGAAAGGCAACGTTTTTTAGTTTTCAAAAAACACGTTGGATTTACATCGGAATGCTGACGTCGCGCGATGTCAGTTTATCCGACGTCAAATAACATTTCCATTTCCAACGTAAACCCAACGTCGATCCGACGTCCAGATCCGACGTCGCTCGACGTTCCTTCGACGTCGAAATGCCCACTGGGTATACTCTTGTTTATAGATTCTTCTTCGTCAACAGAAATAAGTTCATCATGCTTTAGTTCCCGATACACAGCTTTAGATGCCTGGCAAGAGTTCTGAAAAGAACTTGCATCAATTTTATTTTCTAAATTTTGTTTACATGTGGAAGCATGATTTATCTCTTTTAATTTTTAAAGATCTTTTTATTTTGAAACCATTAAGCAAGTTTAACATGAGGAATAATAATTATTTAAATAAACCATTCTATTGAACAAAATTCAATCAATTTTGTATCACTTATCGTGCAGCTTATCTCTGGAACAAAATTAATTTGCCTAACTTCAACTTAACCCTAACTTATCCTGTTTTTAAAAATAAATTAAATGACCTCATTCTTTCTATTGAATATATCGTAGAATATTTTTAATTTATCTTATGATAAAAAACAAAATAATAATAATTTTTATTGTCATGTATGTTTAAGTTTTGTTTTATACTTGTTTACAATTTATTTTCATTTATGTAAAAACGATTTATTGTTTTTTTATGATTTTTTACGTACTCTTATTGTAAAAACTCTCTTTTGTAAAAGGCTTCTGACGATAAGGTCATTGTGATCTTCTTTAAGAAGCCTTGTTTGTATTTGAAAAATATGTAATTTATATATATATTACGTCAAATGTAAACAAAAAAAACAAAAACAACAAAAAAAAAAGTAAAGGCTAATTTAATAAAAAAATAATAAGTAAAAATAAAAAGTAGATTAATAGATAAAATAAGATTTAATAAATTTTCACAAACTCTTATTGGTTTACAGTCAATCAATAGTAATATAAAAAAATACCCGCTTTATTACAAATAAGATATTACATAAAGAGGAGTTCATCATTTTCATGCATTTCTTAACACCTTTCAAATTTAAAAATAGGTTTTCACAATACTTTTTAAATTTCAAGTTCAAAAAAAGAGTAATAGCTTTATAGCAGTACTTTGATGGATAGGAGGGAGCAAAACGTTTATCAATCTTTACAATTATTCACTTATTTAGTCTAACAAGATAATTAAGAAAACATACGTAAAGTTTGTGTTCTACCTATTTTTACAAGGTTATTAGAACATCTGATCAAACATATATGTCTTGGAACCAATAAAGTTATCCCTTTTAATTCAATTTTTTACAAAATAGTTTCATCCTTACCGTAAATTTTATATTGAGCGAAAAAAGAAAACACTGTTAAAATGTTAGCTCAACACAATATATATAAGGTTAACACTCTTTTAAGAAAAAATGTGTCAGAATTCAGGTTTGAAAGACAATAAATGGGGTAAAGGCGATTAATTATATATTAAAAGCAGGAAAACAGAGCTTTTTATATTTAGGAAAATCTAGCCAAAGTTTGATTAACAAAAAAGCTATTTTAAATTAAGTATCTTAAAATACTTTGGTTTCATATATTTGTAAAGACAAACATATAATTGCAACACTTTAAAAAAGCAGTATATTACGTTTAACTTTCAATCTTTCAACCATATTATTTGTTAAATTTCTTAACGTTAACAAAAAATTTTATGCCGGCTGTGTAAAAAGTGCTATTAGAGTAACACGGATGTTAATGGCGCGTTGGCACATTTTTGTGGCATCTGAGCTAACTTCAAACATTTATATGCTCATACATATGCCATATAAATTTTGATTTGTAAAATTTTGTGATAAGTTAAATATTGTTCATTAATCTCACAGTGGTTTATAATTTTGACCGGGTAAAATTTGTAGACCCCTCTTTTATAATACTTTTAGCAATCGTATTTCATCTTAGATTTGTAAAACTCATATAAACCAGCTTGCACACATGCGTTGGGAAAAGGTTTTAATAATGTCGCGAGTTTCAGTGGTAAAACATCGTTGATTTATTGTTATTCAAAGAAAAATGTATTAACTCAACTTAATTCTAATAATAAATGCAACGTTGAACCTGCTTAAAATGAGGGCGTAATCAATCAACGTAAAATACATCGCTATACTAACTAAAAATAAAACGTTCAACCATCGTAAACTATTACACTTTGATAACTTGAACAACAAAATTGTGTTATCGTTGATTTTTTGTTGTTGCCAACGTCATTTGTAACCAAAATGATACAAAAATAACGAGGGTGACCGATGCTGTGCCAACGCAACTTGAAACATTTAACCAACGTTTTACCAATTTATGTGCTACAATTTTTTGTAAACACTATCATAATTTATGTGTGCTATATTCTTTTATAAACACTATTACAATTTAAAACTTGCATCAATCAAATTACTGAGTTTTTTGAACCGCAGACTCATGCAAATATTTATGTCCGGAATTTTTTGAATAAATGTCACGTCTTGCGCCCACTGATCTTATTTGTCGAATATATTGAAATTATATTTGTCGAATATAATAAGAATATGTTTGCAC